CCAAACAAAGTAGTTTCGCTTTCTCAACGAAACACACAGCGTCTTCACGACATGGCGGCAGTGGCAACAATACTACAGCGAGAATAAAAGTTACGCCTTCTTTCTTTGCGTGAACATTTGGGCGGCGTTATGCAAATCTTCCCACACAGTGACGTAGATATGTGGGGCGTGTTAGAACGAGCCGTTTTAGGTAGGCGTGGCTGACTCTTAACTTTTATAAAGAATATCTCTTTGGGTTTGAGACTTTAGTCTTTGCAACTTTAGGGATCTTATCTAATCACGAACAGCTTGTAACACTCCAAAGAGAAAGGAAAACTTGAAATCACATCATATGACCCCTTTAACTTTTTTTTCAAAAACATTCTAAACATTCAAATGTTATCTTGACAAACTTTGCTTTTCTTAACAGTTGATTTGTTTAAATTTTGGTTCATTTGAATTCTACCTTACATTCAAATTCAAATTGCAATTCTACTTAAATTAAAATTCAGGAATGAAATCAAATAAATTATCTCATGAATTATTCAAGATAAAAATGAAAAGTTATCTATATTTCTTACTGTACATTATAATGTCATCATGTCTAAATTCAAGTGTCATAATACTAATTTAACATTGACATTTTTTTAGTTTCTAGTCTGTGTTTTCACAAAATACAAAATGTTGGCTCTAAGTTCAAACATGAATATAACTATCGGTTGATCTGCATTGGACAATTTTGTATTAATATCTATGCATACTAACCTTTCAAGAAACTGCTGCTCTTTGGCATCTACGTAGTGTTCAGGGAACACATCAGGAACTTCATAAATACCATCGTCCTCATATTTTGAAGACTGGTATTGGTATTTATTTGCATTTTGTGCTGTTGCAGTGCTAAAAGGAGGCAGGTTTTCGCATTCTGTGATATCTTCATATGCATGTTCAGATTCACCAACATTGTCTAGATCTTCATCTACATGCTGCTCAACTCCTAATATGTTCCCATTCACTGCTTGCCTCAGTTTCAGTGCATCTGGATGTCCATTGTGCAGTGGCATCGGTTTCTGAGAGCAGATTTTGCGCTGGCTTTCCTCCGTGTCCACTGGCTGCTCGTTCATAACCGGAGTGAGATCGTCGGCCTGTCCACTCTTGACGGATACCTTGGGCACCTTTTTGACACGGTCAAAGTCCATGATCCAAAGAAAGGAGGTCTTCTTGAGGCCATCGGGTTTAAGGATGTCTGCTGACGATAAGGACTTGGATTTCGGCTTGAGTCTCTTCTTGTTTAGCACATCACTTGCTTGCTTCTTCTCAACTGCAAGAGGAGGATGTCCTTCAGCATTTTTTCCATCGTTTCTCAGTGGAGATTTGGACGCTGGTTTCTTTTTAGGGAGTCTATCTACTGAAAGTTCTGTAGCCCCAATGTTATCATGCCTGCGGCCATCAGCTTGAGGTTTTTGGGTCTTCTTCTTCAGATGTTTACCGCTTGACACCGAAATCTCAACGACCTCAGGGATTGCATCCAGATTTTGCACTTTCTTTTCAGTTGCCTGTACACCAACATCCTGGGTTTTATTTTGTTGCATCTGAGGGATCTTCTGGCATGGGGCAGGTGTTGGAGCGCCCTGGCTGATGCCCTGGGTACCTTTAGCACCCCTTGCGGCCTGAGCATCTTTGTTCTCTCTATAACGTCTTGCAGCATTGATGTTCACGTTATTAGGACTTTCTCTCCGTAACGGATCTGGATTGTTTACATCAACAGGTAAGACGGTAAGCTCTGTTTTGGTAAGGTCTGTTGACTCCTGAAGGACAATGCTGGATTGTTTCTTCTTAGTTTTGTGCTGCATGGCTGCTGGTGGTGCTTTCACAGGTGGCTTAGTAGGGAACGGACAATACTGCACACTATTTAGTGCTTGCTGACATTCTAGAGGTTCTGGATCACCATCAACAGATGAATTAACACTAGAAACAATGTTGTTTTGGTGTTTCCTGGTCGTTTGCATCTCAGAACCACTCTGATGTGCCTTAAGTGGCTCTGTGTTCTGGGATGTTTTCCGAGGTTTTTCAGTTGGATGGAAATGATTACTATTGGATGAACTGTGTTCAGAGATGCACTTCGATGAAGTAGGTGTCACTAAATCCTTCTGTTCTTCTGGAGTTCTCAGCGGAGGTTTGGATGGGTTCTTTCTGGGTCCTTCGGTTTTGCCTGCCTTATACTTATCAGGACTTTGTTGACGAACATTTTGGTTGTTTTCCTTTGGTGAGCAATCGGCACAGTTTCGGTCATTGCATACACAGATGGGAATGATGTAATCCCACTCCGGCTTGTTATTCCCAGTGTGCGCTTCATTTCTGAAATTTAAAGCACCAATGGTCTTTGTGATGTCAGACTTTTGTTGTAAAACAGCTTGATGGCCAACCTTGGATGTGAGGTGCTTTGAATTGAAAGCGGAAGGGGGAAGTTTGGAGAGACATGGCTTTGGTGCCACATCAGGCTTAACTTTGCATTTAACAGCCGTTGAGGAAGGCTGGTAAACACACAGCTTTGAAGCAGCTGGATGCTCTGTTTGCTTCGGTGCTGGGAGAACCTTTGGTTTTGGTGCCAAAGGTGGTTTCTGATCACCAGCTGAGAGGAAAAAGAAAAGCACATGGAGAAATGTGAACAAGAAAAGAACTCTTTGGTTGAAACACAGTTAGCATACTTTGACCATTTAAACCATATTGTGTTTAGCTGTATTTTAGTACATCTTAAATATTCTACTAATACACTCACCTTAAAAATAAACGTTTCAAAAGGAGGCTTTTGCAGTGGTGTCGTAGAAGAACCAATTTTGGTTCCCCAAAGAAACTTTCATTGAACAATTCTGAAATTAACCATTTTTTCTTAGTGTGAAGAACCTTTTTCCACTTTAAAGACCCTTTTGTGGAATGAAAACGATGCACTCATATTTTTAAGAGTGTATCAATAATAATAATAATAATAATAATTTTCTCTGAATTAAAATCCAGTACAATATTTAACATATGTTAAATACAGATAGAATATACTTTTGAAATAATATACTTTTTTAAAATAAAGAATATACTTTTTGGAAATATGATTTTTATCCATTAGAGTAAAGATGATTCTTTTAGGGGTCAGTTTGACCCCAGCAAGAACAAACAACTGCAGCAGTGCAAAACGATCACAAAGTATGTCAAAATTCATTGCATTTATGTTTTTTTTTTTTACCTGAAACAAAATGTTACATTTTAGCAGTGTTGAGGAAAGTTATTTTTAAAAGTAATGCATTGCAATACTGCGATGCTCCATGAAAAAGTAACTAAATGCAAATTACTTCTGCACTTGTCAACTGGTCTGGGCTTGCTTATTATTTTTAATTTTTTTATATATAACAAAAATCCCAAAAGTTATATTTTTTTCCAACTGTAAGGGCCCTTTCACATGAAAAATGAAAATAATAGGCCTCAGGCTGAAGGAAGTGCCTCTGCACCTCACTCCCAATTTCTCTAAACACGGGGACAAAAAAGATGTCAGTCAATAAATGGGAAAAAAGTCACTTGCGTTACTTATTTGAAAAAGTAATCTGATTACATAACTCGTGTTACTGGCAGTGTTAGGGGTAACTCATTACAAGTAATGCGAGTTACATAATCAGATTACTTTTTTCAAGTAACTAGTAAAGTAACACATTACTTTTTTAATTTACAAGAAAATATCTGAGTTACTTTTTCAAAAAAGTAACGCCAGTTACTTTGTTTTCCCATTTATTGACTGACAGCTCTTCTGTCCCCATACTGGGAGAAATCGGGAGTACAGAGGCGTTGTGTGCGTTGTGTGAACATGATGCTACTGTAGTTCTAGACTAAATGTGAATGTGCATTAATTCATCCCACTCACAAAAAACAGATTTAGTATTCATCAAAATGAATTAAAACAGTGAAATGCAAACTCAGAATATGACGCAAACCTGCAATAATTAAATATGTTAAATAACACAAATGTATCTAATCCCATTTTATTAACTAATGTCTTTGCTGCTGACCTTTGATGATCCAGTTCAACCATACTAATAAGCAAAATTGACTTTAGATAAACTAACAATTGTGCTTCATTGTTTTTTTTTATTGCTGAAGAGTGTTTCTTCTCCTGCATTCTACTGTACAGACGTGAATTTACTTTTCATTCAGCCTGAGGTTTATTCATTACACTTTTTGGTGTAAAAGGGCTTTTACATTTGCTATAAATAGAACTTCTTATATTAAAAGCAATCAAGCCCTGCTCATATTTAAAAAGTAACGTGAAAGTAACGCAAAAGTAATA